CATAACGCAACTTTACCCACTGTGCATAGTACTGAATGGTCCTTGAACTTAAAAATTCATCCGTATGCCCAAGGAACATCTTAACTAGTATAACAGAATTGTCCTAGAATAGTAAAGCGAATATCACACAGCACTGGCCATCATTTCATGGCAAAATTCATTATGGAAGATGTTACCGCTGAATTCCACTGAAGATGTGGAATTCAGGAAACAAAATATTCCTGGAATATTTAGCCTGGAAACAAAATATTCAGAAACCAACCCACAAGCTTGGAAAACAAACCTCCCACCCGCAGCAGTGGTGGGTTCCTCCCGGTTCGGTCCGGTTCGGCCGAGCCGGTAGCGGTGACGATATGACGTCACCGGACCGGTTCTCACCCCCCCCCCCCCCTCCCAGCCCCCCCCCCCACCCACATTATTCTTACCTTTTATTTGGTCCCACCCCCAATCTATTGCTGCCTCCTGAGTCCCAGCTGATGACTAGAGGGAAAAAAACTGTTTAAATTCTTGCCGGGGGCTTCAAAGGGCCGTCCTACAGCTGATCAGTGTTAAAAGCAAACAAATGAGTCGGGTCGTAAGTGCGAGGACTGGTCGTAAGTGCGAGGACCTTCCAGAAATGACTCTGACCAGCTAGCCACACCCACCTAGTCACATGACCTCCAAGCCACACCCACAAAATAAGCCACGCCCGTAGAACCGGTAGTAAAAAAATTTAGAACCCACCCCTGACCCACAGCCTACATCCGAACTATGGATATTTGACACTATCATGAATTACCATCCTACCCTGTTGCCACTTATACAGCAGGGAGAGTCTATGTTACTAAAAAAAAAGGGGGGAGCATTATTCACTTCTAAACGTCTTCATGACATGCTGAGGCCCTGGTTTAGTATTTTAATGTTCTCCTGCATGGTCTCAAATATGAGCCGAGTTAAAAGAAAACACAATTTTAGAAAAGGTTGGTCCAGACATACTCCAGTCCAGTCTGTCAATGTCCTTCCTAAAATACCACATGCCGGTCAGTGGCATATCATAGGAGCTTTTCCAGATCTGCTCCAAGCTGCCAACATCCTTCCTAAAATACGATGCCCAAAATCGGATCTGATATTCTACGTCTGAACTGACCAGTCCAACATAAGACAAGTTGGTCATTTGTCTCAAGTTGTTTCGCTTGGATCTAGCCTAGGATTGCATTTGCTCTTTCTGCACCCAAATCACACTCTTGGCTCATGACCAGTTTGCAAACTGTTTTCATCAGATTAAATAAAATAACTCCCAGCTACATAGCTCAGTCCTCACAACAGGCTTAACCGGTTGCGTATTGTAGGAGCTGCATGCACACAACATGTACCAAGATTTATTTATTATGAGCTTAGCCCATGTATGTGTACGTTAGTGCAGATATAAGCCCAGAGCATATAACTCCATTTATTTTCCAAGCCCAAGGCATGGGTTACTTGAATGACTCTTACCTTCCCATTTAACACTCTTATCTTCCATTACTGCCATGCCTTTTCAGTTTCAGCTAATCATTAAAAACAATAAGGAAACATAAAAGCTTTTTCATATCTGAAGGATAAATATTCAGCGAGCAAGCACTGCGGGTAAGCAATTTAGCACTCCCTGGCTTCTTCATAAAAGGACTAAAGCCAGTCCCTATTTTGAATACAAAACATAGAATCATAGGTCTGGAGGGGACCTCGGAGGTCTTCTAGTCCAACCTCGTGCTCGAGGCTGGCGCCCTAGGCCATCCCAGAATATCTTCCCAGAATATCTTTTTTTACAGTTTCCCAGTTCTTGTTGTTGGGAAATCACTAGCAAAGGAGAAATCAGGAATTAGGTAAGCAGTTTGTTCCATTGACTAAGGTTCATAAAATTCATACGTTTCTCCAGATGACTAATTTAAACTTCCTAAAGTTTTGCAACTTTAGAGGAGTGGTTCTGGTTCTGCCCTCAAGGTAGTAGAAAACAAATCAGTTTCCTCTTCTGATATCTTTCTAGAAATTGGAAAACTCTTCCCGTAACTCTCCATAACTCCCTCCCCCCCTCCACGCTGAGCACCAGGACTTGAATAGCTGCTAATGTACTGCAGGAATGTCAAACTTGATTTCATTGAGGACTGCATCAGGGTTGTGTTTGACCTTGGAGGGGGTTAAGGTTGCCAGGTCTGCTTCCAAAAAATAGCAGACAAGCAGGGGGGGGGGGGGTTAAGTAGTAAAAAAAATTTAAAAAAATTTACAATTAAATTATATATTTTCTTACAAACATTTTAACACGCCATTTTAGGTCAGTCGACACAAGCCACAATACATTTTAAAAATGTGAACTGTACATAATTTTATAATATATTTTTATTTTAATCTCATCATTAATTTTTTCGGAGAATCGAGTTCAATGGATATTCGATCTTTGTCTCATTCTAACATGAAAAAAAAGACAAAACGCGATTCTCCTATCCTTATTCTCTTAGACTGTACAGCTTTAGATTACGTACTATTTCATCATAAAGCTTTTGAATAAAAAAAAGTCCACTATTTTGTGAAAAAAAAAATAGTGAACATAATGTGAAAAAAGTGGACTGTCCGCTCAAATAGTGGACACCTGGCAACTCTAGAGGGGATGTGGCCAGGGTGGGTGTGGCCAGCTCGACATCACTCGTGTCGGGAGGGCTGTGGCGGCCCAAGCGCTCTGCTAGCAAAAACAGGTTCCCGAGCTCCGTTTTGGGCTACCACAGCCTTCTGCAACTCTCTGCCAGTGAAAACGGAGTTCAGGAGCCCGTTTTCACTGGCAGGAACACCTCAGGCCAGTCCTCCGCTGTTTCCAGGGTGGTCCCACAGGCCAGATCTAAGTACCCCATGGGCTGGATTTGTCCCCTGGGCCTTGCATTTGATACCTCTGATCAGGGGTGAAATTCGGCAGGTTCTGACAGATTCTGGAGAACCGGTAGCGGAAATTTTGAGTAGTTCGGAAAACAGGCAAATACCACCTCTGGCTGGCCCCAGAGTGGGGGGGAATGGGGATTTTGCAATATCCTTCCCCCAGGAGTAGGGAGGGAATGGGGATTTTGCAGTATCCTTCTCCTGGAGTGGGGTAAGAATGGAGATTTTGTACTATCCTTCCCCTGCCATGCCCACCAAGCCACACCCACCAAGCGATGCCCACAGAACCAGTAGTAAAAAAAAAATGGATTTCATCACTGCCTCTGATGTACTGCATATAATCATATATGGAATAGAGAGAGCTGGGGTTTTGTAGCCAAAACAAAATATTTTCCCTTGGGAACCAAGGACATTTTCACATCTGGTCAGAGGGAGGAGGAGTGCTAACTATTTTTATACACCTCTACAATACAATACAATACAACCTCTACCTCTACAATACTTTCCTTGAGTTAAAATAGTTCATTTAGTGACCGTTCAAAGTTACAACGGCAATGAAAAATGTGATTCATGACAGTTTTTCATAGTTACAACCTTTGCAGCATCCCTATGGTCACGTGATCAAAATTCAGATGCTTAGCATCTGGTTCATATTTATGACGGTTGCAGCGTCCCAGGGCCATGCAATCCCCTTTTGCAACCTTCTGACAAGCAAAGTCATTGGAGAAGCTAGTTTCACTTAACAACCAGGTTACTAACTTATCAACTGCAGTGAATCACTTAACAGCTGCCTACAATTTGACAGATTGAATCTCCCCAGACTCAAGGTTGACTCAGCCTTCCATTTGTCTGAGGTGGGTAAAATGAGGACCCAGACTGTTGGGGGCAAAACGCTGACTCTGTAAACCACTGAGTGAATAGGATGGGATGGGATGGGATGGGATGGGATAGGATAGAATAGAATAGAATAGAATAGAATAGAATAGAATAGAATAGAATAGAATAGAATAGAATAGAATAGAATAGAATAGAATAGAATAGAATAGAATTCTTTATTGGCCAAGTGTGATTAGATACAGAAGGAATTTGTCTTTGATGCATATGCTCTCAGTGTACATAAAAAGACAAGATACATTCGTCAAGAATCATAAGATACAACACTTAATCATAGTCATAGGGTACAAATAAGCAATCAAATCATACTAGGAAACAATATAATTCGTAAAGATACAAGCAACGTTACAGTCATGCAGTCATAAGTGGGAGGAGATGGGTGATAGGAACAATGAGAAGAGAGGGCTGTAAAGCACTGTAAAGCAATATATAAGTCTAAGTGCTATTCCTTCCTTCCTTCCCTCCCTACCTCCCATTGGTTAGAAGGCAGTATTGCAGGCTAATTCTGCTGAATGCCAGCAGTTCAATCCTGACTGGCTCAAGGTTTGGCAGATCAAATCTCACCAGGCTCAAGGTTGACTCAGTCAGCCATCCTTCCGAGGTGGGTAAAATGAGGACCCAGATTGTTGGGGGCAATGTGCTGACTCTGTAAACCATTTAGAGAGGGTTGTAAAAGCGCTGTGAAGCGGTATGTAAATCTAAGTACTATTGCTATTGCTAACTGTGGCAAAAAAAAGTCGTAAAATGGGGCAAAACTCATTTAACTAATGTCTCCCTTAACAACAGACATTTTGGACTCCGTTGCGGTCATAAGTCAGGAACTACCTGTTATTTATAGGCTGGCCTCCCTTGTAAGACAATTGCAGGAGACACATGTTCGTTGCTTAGAGGGAACTTTGTGCAAAGACATCCTTATATGTTTGGTGACAGAGTTGTTTTTCTTTTTTCCCAGTTAGTGGGAGGCAATAAATCCAGCCAGCGTGGAAAAGATTTAGCAGTCAGTATGATGGTGGAGGGAAACACTGAAGCCAGAAATCAACGTAGGGGGTGTCCAGATCCTGTCCTTATTTTCAGTTGTGAAGTGGTAGGCCTCTTTGGGAGGAGGAGCTACTCCAATTTACCCTTACTGAGGAGGGAAAAGAAAATTGAGTAACTGAATTTACATCATCTGCTGCTAGGGAAATATCTGTTCTTTGCCAGTGCTGCCCCACCCAATCCAGATCCATCCCTGTTTATTCACTGCCACATTTTCCCACACCAGACAAACCTTATCCTACAGCAATAAGGAACTGTCATTTCTGAGGGCAGGGCAATTCTACTATAAAGTAAACCATCCATTTGAAGCCCATCTCCAGATGTTTCAGTCCATGGGAGAAGGACGCTAGCAAAGCAAGAAGAGTCTGGATTAGAAAGTGCAACCAAGGCAAAAGAAAAAAGATCAGCAGGACTTGGGGGAGCATCTCAAAAGAAGAAGAAGAATCTGCTGAGAAGCAAGCAGAGACATTGCAGAACTTCAAGGAAGGAGAGGAGAGGAGATCAGGCTGCAAAATGAGCAATCCAGAGAACGGGAAGACATCTCAAATGAACGAATCCTTTCATCCTGGACAACAGCCTGATCCGATGAAATCAGCTATGAATCCACCTCCAGCAGTGTATGGGACATCTCCCTCCATGCCATACCAGTATCAACCTTATGCTGGACATCCCGGTGCCATACATATGCAGCCTGAACAGACCATCCTGATGTCAAATGTACAGTCTGTCAATGAACCAGATTATTTGGGCTACTCCATCTTCACCCTCCTTTGCTGTTGCCTCCCCTTGGGCATAGTTGCTTTGATTTACTCTATAAAGGTGAGTTTCAGTGAGAGAGGGGAGAGGGGAAGGAGGGAGGGAGGGAGAGGGAAAGGGAAAGGGGGAGAATCATGACTAACTTTGCTTAGATGGTTATGAGTGTGGCCAATGCTAGATTAATTTTAGTAAGAGGTAACAGCCAGCACTTGTTGCAGTAAACAGGACAGTAGAAGAAGGGAGAGTAAAAAGGAAGAGAGCAAGAAAAAAAGAGGTAGAATGAAGGAAAGAGCAAGAAAAAAAAGGGGTAGAATGAAGGGTACAGAGTTTGTTAATACAAGTCCTTACTCAGAGATCAAGAAGGAAAGTTAGCTTTGCAGAGATAAGAGCATCTTTCAATGCACTATCGGACTGCCTTCATTGAAGGTATTGTTCAAGTATTATTAAATAGACTTATTTATTGCAAGCAGAAGGGTGGATGAATGTGATGAAGCGTATTTAGTCTTCAACTTATGACCAGAATTGGGACCAGAATTTCCGTTGGTAAACAAGGGCGGGGCATGTTTGGTTCAAGTGAGTCACACCTGATTTTATTACCTTTATGGCTACCGTTGTTAAGCAAGTCATTAAAGCTATCGAGTGAATCTCACAGTGGTTAGGAAATCCAGTTTCTTCCATTGATTGTGTTAGAAGCTGGGAAGGTGGCAAATGATTGGATGACCCCCCCTCCTGCCCAAAAAAATGCTGCAGCCATCATAAATACATGCCTGTGGTCAAGAATGTCGATCACTTGCCTGTGAGGATGCTGTGACCGTCATAAGTGCAAGGAATGGTTGTATTTCACTTTTTTCAGCGCCAATGGTACTTAAAAATGTTCATTAAATGAATGGCTGTAAATTGAGGACTACCTGTAATAGAATATGATTCCTTCATGTTGCTACCGTGTTTCCCCGAAAATAAGACATCCTCTGATAATAAGCCCAGTCGGGCTTTTGAGCGCATGTGCTAAAATAAGCTTCCCCCCCCCCCCAAAAAAATAATAACCTCTCTCCGAAAATATTTAAATATTTAAATGCATGCAATTTCCTCTGGGTAGGATTAGTTAGGGAGGCAGAGCCCCATCTTGCTCCATGCACCCCAAAATAATAAGACCTCCCTGAAAATAAGGCCAAGCGCTTATTTCGGGGTTTAAAAAATATAAGACAGAGTCTTATTTTCAGGGAAACACTGTATGGTTTTTTTTTAAAGTTTTTTTTCAGAAACTATTGTGGTTTATTTTTTTTAAAAGCGAAAGGGATACATCGGAGAGGTGCATTAAACCTGCCGATTTGAATGTTAGCTGAAATAAGTTTTTTTAAAAATATATATATAATAATAAATAAGAACACTACTTTTTCAGTTTTCTGTTGAATGACTGGGGATTGGAAGGCGCCAGAGCTTGCAATAGAATCAATGGCTTGCCTTTCCTATGTCAACTCAAGGGAGAGAACCCTAAAAAGGATTTTTTTTTTCTTTTCTTATAATAACATCGTGGGGAAGATAAATCTATTTATCTGTCGTTGCTGTTGTTCTGTTTCCAGTGCAACTTGCCCAGAAAAGTCTCACATCATTCAAAGTCCTGCAGAAACCCTCCATGCAGTCTGATGAGCTAAATCGATTAGAGTGGTTTGATTTTTAAAACAGGGTATATGGGTACAAGTGCAGCAAATGGATAAAAAGGAATTCCGCTGAATTAATTTGAGACCCAGACTGATCTTGTCCTTCTGCAATTAGATCAGTGCTTACACAAACACACACAGAGAGAGAATAAATTCTACGTTCATCATTTTTTGTTTCACTCTGTATATAGTGCATTCCTCTTTATCTTTTTCTTCCTTTGCTTCTTCCTTTAAATAGAATAGAATAGAGCTGGAAGGGACCTTGGAGGTCTTCTAGTCCAGCCCCCTGCTCAAGCAGGAGAACCTATACCATCTCAGACAGGGGACTGTCCAGTCTCTTCTTAAAAATCTCCAGTGATGGAGCACCCACGATTTCCGAAGGCAAAATGATTAATTGTCCTCACTGTTAGGAAGGTTCTCCTCAATTCCAGGTTGCTTCTTTCTTTGATTAGTTTCCAACCATTGTTTCTTCTTTTCTTCTCTGCTTCTTCTTCTTCTTTTCCTCTCTCCTTCTGCCTCCACGCTTGCCATCTTTATTTTAAAAATCGTGGTTCTCATGCATGTTTTGACATTGCTCTCCCACATGCCCAGAACAATAGTGAAATCCAAATTTTTTTACTGCCGGTTCTGTGGGCGTGGCTTGGTGGGCGTGGCTTGGTGGGTGTGGCAGGGGAAGGATACTGCAAAATCCCCATTCCCACCCCACTCCTGAGGGAAGGATATTGCAAAAACTCCATTCCCACCGCATTCAGGGGCCAGACAGAGGTGGTATTTGCTGGTTCTCCGAACTGCTCAAAATTTCCATTACTGGTTCTCCAGAACCTGTCAGAACCTGCTGGATTTCACCCTTGGCTCAGAATCAACTAATTATATGGGTATCAATAATCTTTTTCTTACCTCTTTCCTCTCGCCCACCCTCAGACTCAAGGGGCCAATCAACAGAGAGACATCGCGTCTGCTAAGAGATATTCCAGACGGGCACTAACCTTGGATCACGCTGCGCTTGGATTGGGGATTGCATGGATCGTTCTGGCTATTATTTTGGTCATTGTTTTCAGGACCGTAGCTGTGGACCCAGTAGTATCAGTTCATCAGGGCAACTTTGGAAACATTGGAAATTACAATCCCTGAAGACACCATATTATCTTAAATGATTTCTGTTCTTAATACACGGAAGGGAAGTCAGAAATCTAAAATAAAACCATTGTCTTTGAATTAATGTAAATATAAATCATGTAAGTAGGGATGCGGTGACTCAGTGGCTAAGACACTGAGCTTGTCGATCGAAAGGTCGGCAGTTCAGCGGTTCAAATCCCTAGTGCCGCGTAACGGGGTGAGCTCTCGTTACTTGTCCCATCTTCTGCCAACCTAGCAGTTCGAAAGCACGTAAAAAATGCAAGTAGAAAAATAGGGACCACCTTTGGTGGGAAGGTAACAGCGTTCCGTGCGCCTTTGGCATTTAATCATGTTGGCCACATGACCATGGAGACGTCTTCAGACAGCGCTGGCTCTTTGGTTTGAAATGGAGATAAGCACCTCCCCCTAGAGTCGGGAATGACTAGCACATATATGTGCGAGGGGAACCTTTACCTTTACCTTTAAATCATGTAAAACTCTTAGTACAGAATCTAACCATAGGCCGGTCCTTCAGACCTCCCACTAGTACACACGCTTTGCTCGCCACACCTAACAACTAGCCCATAATACACTGGAGACAACATTGGGCAGTCTGAAACCCTATTAATCGATTATTCTGATTCTTATCGACCCCCAGATTGAAACAATAGCTTGGGAAAAGGTAAATGAATCAGTTTTGAGGCCACATGTGAAGCATTGGCTCATTTGGAGGTAAAAACTGTTTATATTGAAATACACATAATCAGTTCTAAATCTCATTCATATGAAATGGATGCAATGCACTAGACGTGAGAACGGAAATCCCGATTTGTTGGAAACCTACCATCAGGATATTCTTCATATTTTCTCTGGGACAATCTTACAGAAGACATTATCTTCTTCATTATCTACATTACATATAAAATCCAGTGTTGTCATAAATTAAAAGTGAACAGAGCTTCATGTAGCTTTCCATCTCCTGACACACATTTAACTCCAACTTGTAAAGTTCAATGATCATAGGAATTTAGCGATCATAGGAATATCTCTGTCTCACCTTTCTGTACAATTGATTTTATTGTCACATTGCTCTTATTGTTGGAAATTATTACATATTATCCAATTAGCATCTGCCCTTCTGGAATTTGATAACCTTATTCTGTGTACTGCATTGATATAATACAAAGTGGTACTTTATTAAATGCATGAAGTGTGATTTTGTGAAGATTTTTTGTTTGTTTGTTTAAGCTTATGTAAATTTATACTATAAACTTATGTGAAATAAATGCTACTTTGTGTTCTGGCCCTTATGTGTGAATTTCAACTCCCAAAATTCTCCAGCCAGTCCTGGAAATAAATGGAAATCAGAAATGTCAAAATGAAAAGTGGGGCAGAACAATGAATGTGTTAAGTGAGTTAAAACAGGAAATTAAAATGGATTTTGATCCGGGGCACAATGAGAGCTTATTTTAACCCGCTCACATCTGGTTTATTTGTTTATTTTATTTATTTTATTTTATTTTGAATTTGTATACCGCCCTTTTCCCTGAGGACTCAGGGCGGTGAACAGCCAAGTAAAAACATCAAGTACAAATATTAAAATACAATTAAAAATATATATATAAATTTGGCCCCATTAATTAAAAACGATAAACAAAACAATTAAAAACACTTAAAAAATTAGGCTTAAAAAATTAGGCCAGCCCGGCTTGCTGGAAAAGGAAGGTTTTAAGGGCACGGCGGAAGGCACTGAGGTCTTGGATTCTCCTTATCTCTGGGGGCAATTGATTCCAGAGGGTATCTGAGGGCAATTGTGTTTGTGTGTGTGTGTGTGTGTGTGTGTGCGTGCATGTGCACATTTTTTTATCCGATACCAGTTAGTTTTTTATTGGGTCATGTACTATTGGTGCAATTCTTTTTTCACCAGTTGAAAATATCTATTGGGGCCACACATAGCATACACACCCTGCAGAAAATGTTTGAATGTTACAACAAATGCAAACTGTGGTAACCTTTCCTTTAATGGAAAATGGAATGAGAATCAGGAGTGGGTTTCACTTACTTTTGGTACTGATTGGCTCATGCGCATGCACAAGCGAAGCGAGCGCAGATCGCATGCACAGATCATATTTGATAATGTCCAGTTGGCGAAGACGGCATTTAATTTCATTGTACCATGTGCAATGGCAATAAAGTAAACTAAACTAAATTAACTAAGCTAAAGTCCCTGCAAACATTACTGGTCCGCAAGAGGACTACATCTGACAGGGTTGATCATCAAGTATGGTCTTCTTGGTTTTCCTGAAACAGTTTTTCCTTACCTCTTTGGAACAGAACAGCGGGATTAACATCTGACGGCTGAAATAAATATTGTATGATGAAAATAAAGAAATGGATCACATAAGCCCCCCCCTCCCTTTTATTTGTAAGAATTAAAGAATAGTAAAGGTAAAGGTTCCCCTCACACATATGTACTAGTCGTTCCTGACTCTAGGGGGCGGTGCTCATCTCCGTTTCAAAGCCGAAGAGCCAGCACTGTCCGAAGACATCTCCATGGTCATGTGGCCGGCATGACTAAACGCCAAAGGTGCACAGAGCTCTGTTACCTTCCCACCAAAGGTGGTCCCTATTTTTCTCCTTGCATTTTTTACATGCTTTCAAACAGCTTGGTTGGCAGAAGCTGGGACAAGTAACGGGAGCTCACCCGGTTACACGGCACTAGGGATTCGAACCGCTGAACTGCCGACCTTTCTGATCGACAAGCTCAGTGTCTTAGCCACTGAGCCACAGCGTCCCTATTATAAGAATAGTGCTGTCCAGTAATTTAGAGGGAGATTGACCGAAGAATGATATTTCATCTGCTTTACTTCCAACTCTTTCCTATTGCATATTCTGTTCTATAGACGTTAATTTCCCACCCAAACGCATGAGCAGGAATTTAGTCTGGCTATCAATTGTCCATTGGGGAGGTGGAAGTGAAATGGCCCTTTTTACTCCAGCCAGCATTTTTGGATGGAATTAATATTAATCTCAACATCTACTCCTATGGTAGAAAGAGCTAACAGAATAGGCCATGGGTCCTACTTCCACACTCTCAAGAGAGACATGGGATTGACAGGAATTTGCAGATTGTTTTGGGAGCATGCTGGCTGGGGAATTCTGGCACTTGACATCCAGACATCTTAAAGTTGCCAAGTTTTTAAAAAAACACTGCACTAAAAGAATCCCTTTCTCCCCTTTTATGGAATTTTCTGGCTGAATTCAACCGCCTAAGCCAGTGATGGCTAACCGTTTTGTCATCACATGCCAAAAGTGTGGACACACGTGCAATGGGCCCACACACCCCATGTGCCCCATTCCCGGTCATGCGCATGTGCCCCCCCTTCCTCCCCCGCCCCACCGCACATGTACACATTTCTCCCGCATGCCCCCCACGCATGCGCGGCAGATACCCGAAAATCAGGTGGCCGGCAGGAGACGCACAGACATTCACAGTGGAGCTGAGCTGGGGCGATGGCTTGTGTGCCTGCAGAGAGGGCTCTGCATTCCACCTGTGGCACGCATTTATTTTATTTATTTATTTTATAAAATTTGTATGCCGCCCTATCTCCAAGGACTCAAGGCGGCTCACAATGACAGTCAACCAAGCGACTGTTAAAAACAACGAATATACATAAAAAATCAAGAAATATATTACCCCATCAGTCCAGGCCGGGGGACATAAATAGCCAGGTCTTCAATTCACGGTGGAAGACGCGAAGGTCAGGGGCCAACCGGAGCCCCAAGGGAAGTTGATTCCAAAGGGTAGGGCCGCTCACAGAGAAGGCTCTACCCCTGGGAGTCGCCAGCCGACATTGTCTAGCCGATGGCACCCTGAGTAAGCCCTCTCTGTGAGAGCGCACCGGGTGATGGGAAGTTGACGCTGGTTGCAGGTGGTCCGACAAATAACCTGGGCCTAAGCCATGAAGGGCTTTATAGGTTAACACCAGCACCTTGACTCTCACATGCCATAGGGTCGCCATCATGGGTCTCTATTACAAAAAAGAGGGGCATTATTCACTTCTAAACATCTTCATGACATGCTGAGGACCTGGCTTAGTATTTCATGTTGTCCTGCATGGCCCAGGTCTCAAATATGAGCCAAGTTAAAGGAGAACACAATTTCAGAAAAGTTGTGCGGCTGTTGGTCCAGACATGCTCCAGGCTGCCAACGTCCTTCCTAAAACACGATGCCCAAAATCGGACCTAATATTTTACGTCTGAACTGACCAGTCCAACATAAGACAAGTTGGTCATTTGTCTCAAGTTGTTTCGCTTGGATCTAGCCTAGGATTGCATTTGCTCTTTCTGCACCCAACTTACACTCTTGGCTCATGACCAGTTTGCAAACTGTTTTCATCAGATTAAATAAAATAACTCCCAGCTACATAGCTGAGTCCTCACAACAGGCTTAACCGGTTGCGTATTGTAGGAGCTGCATGCACACAACATGTACCAAGATTTATTCATTATGAGCTTAGCCCATGTATGTGTACGTTAGTGCACATTTATTTTGCAAGCCCAAGGCATGGGTTAATTGAATGACTCTTACCTTCCCATTTAACACTCTTATCTTCCATTACTGCCATGCCTTTTCAGTTTCAGCTAATCATTAAAAACAATAAAGAAACATAAAAGCTTTTTCATATCTGAAGGATAAATATTCAGAGAACAAGCACTGCGGGTAAGCAATTTAGCGCCCCCTGGCTTCTTCACAAAAGTACTAAAGCCAGTCCCTATTTTGAATACAAAACATGGAATCATAGGCCTGGAGGGGACCTCGGAGGTCTTCTAGTCCAACCCCGTGCTCGAGGCACGTGCCCTAGGCCATCCCAGAATATCTTCCCAGAATATCTTTTTTACAGTTTCCCAGTTCTTGCTATTTGTTCTCATGAAGGGATAGAAAAGAGGAAAGACATTTTAACCCAAGCCACAATTGGTAGGTCTTCTGGGAGTTCATACCATCTTAGCATAATAAAAAAAAATAATAAAATTGTTAATGATCCCAGAGGGCACCTAGTTCTACCCCATATTCTTCACGGCAGCATTTTTGACCGATGAACATCCAGCTTCTGTTTATTTATTTATTTATTTATTCAATTTTATATGCTGCCCTTCTCCGGAGACTCAGGGCGGCTTACAATGCGTTAAGCAACAGCCTTCATACTTTTTTATATACCAGCTTAGTAGGGCTTTTGCCCCCCCCCCCCATAAGCAGTTTTCTTAAAAAGAACACGATGGGGGCTTCCCGACCATCAGGAAACTTATGGCTCAATACAGCCCCTATGCCATATGGGGAAGCATCGGCGGTCAAGGTAAGGGGGAAGTCTGGTGTGTACTGGACCAGAACAGCCGAGGACATGAGCAGATCCTTTACAGCTTGGAACGAGCGGTTCTCAGCCGGGGTCCAAACCCACGGTGAGTTCCTGTCTAGGAGCCGGTGGAGAGGCTCAGCCACACTAGCTTTATGGGGAAGAAATACACTGTAGAAATTTAATAACCCCCCAAAAGCTTGTAACTCAGATTTACTGGTGGGGACAGGGGCATGTTTGGTGGCCGCCACCTTTGAAGGGGTGGGGTGAATGCCCGAGGCATCTATGAGATACCCTAAAAACTCAACCTTAGGCACACCAATGAGACATTTGTTCTTTTTCAACTTGAGTCCAGCACTTCGGAACCGTAGTAAAACCGTCCGCACACGTTTGATGAGCTCACTCCGAGAAGAAGCGGAGATGAGAACATCATCAAAGTATGGGACGACTCCAGGTAACCCAAATAACAGACTTTCCATTAAATTTTGAAAAAGGTCAGGTGCGATGCTAATGCCGAATTGTAGACGCCGGCACTTAAAAGCTCCAGAGTGGGTCACGATGGTCTGAGCCTCAGCGGAGGCCTCATCCACTGGGAGCTGCTGATACGCCTGAGCTAAATCTAACTTGGCAAAAATGGACCCAGGACCTAGAGTGTGCAGTAATTGTTGGATTACGGGAAGAGGATATGGGTTAGATTGTAAAGCCTTATTTAGGGTACTTTTAAAATCAGCGCAAATGCGAATAGACCCATCAGGTTTGATTGGAATTACAATTGGAGTTTCCCACTTAGAATGATCCGTGGGCTCTAATACACCCTGGGAGATGAGTTTATCCAGCTCCGCATCTACTTTTGGGCAGAGAGCCAGGGGAACTCGCCTCGGTTTGAGGCGAATAGGAGCTACCTGAGGGTCCAAATTTAGGGAAATAGGGGAACCAACATATTTACCCAAAGATCCGCTGAAGACATCAGCGAATTCCGTATACAGAGCATCGCAATCTCCTGCCGACATGGAGTGTATGCCAGAAATGCCAAGGCCCAGAGAGGTGAACCAATCTAAACCCAGAAGGCTGGGAAGAGAACCACCCACTACAATTAAAGGGAGGCAGCCCGCAAAATTATTGTTTTCAACTAAAAATCAGCCCTGACCTATAATAGGAATGTGATTGCCCTGATAATTGCGTAATTTGATGGGGCAAGTATGGAGTTGGCTTCTGTGGAGGTTGGGCAATAGCTTCTTGATGGTGGTTCAGGAGACAATCGATTTAGCGGATCCGGTATCGACTTCCATCTAGCAGGCCACTCCCTCAATCTTGACCGTCAGGAACAGCTTGCTCATCTCAGGTCTGTGTTTGTTGGTGGTCACCTCGGTAACTCGGCGGCCTTGGTAGATGGCATAGCAATCTTCACTGGTGGAATACGTTTTGGATTCGGGCTGCTTGTACTTGGAAACCCATGAGGACTGTTTACCAGACCGGCAAACGCGAGCAATATGGCCCTGTTTCCCACATCGGCGACATGTGGCGGATCGGAAACGGCAATTCGCCCTAAGGTGATTTTCACCGCAACTGAGGCAAAATGATTTTGAGGATCTTGGTTGTCCCATTGGGCCCCTTTTTACGGTTGTAGACGCCTTTAAACGACTTGACATTCCCCTCGTTTTCCTCATCCGTAGCCTCGTCCTCATAATGAACAGCGGTGGCTAAACCGGCATGTGGTTGAAATTTTCTTATATCCGTTGCGGACTTATGGGACATCTCGGCAGCTTGGGCCTCCTCAAGTGCCGTTGGGAGGTCCAACTCCTTCCTTGCTAGCAGCCTCCTTTGAAGTCAGATGTCCCTGATGCCACAGACTAACTGTTCTACAAGGGCATCATCCAAGTCCCTGAACTCGCAGTCTAAAGCTGCCGTTCGGAGGCGAGCCATGTATTGGTTTATGGACTCCCCTTCCTCTTGCACTATCTGTCTCAGGTTAAAATAGCAGGCTATACGGGAGGGAACTGGCGAGTAATGACTCCTCAGTTTCTCTCGTAACGCCTCCAAGGGAGCCGTGTGTCCTGGAAGAGGAGCGACTAATGCCCTTGCCGTTGCGAATACTTCTGGCCCACAAGCATTTAGAAAATGAGCGCGCTTTCGGCTGCTTGAAAGTTCAGTGAATTCATTCGCTTCTAAGTAACACTCGAATCTTTCCTCGTACGCCTGCCACGTCTTTGCAGCTGCGTTAAATGGGGCGAATGTAGGAGGGGCCATATTCCTGTCAGGTTCGTTTGTATTTTACTTTACCTCAGTGCGGCCGCTCAGAATAACATTCACTTCTTCCGTCGCCTCAAAATCCCACCTTCATCGCCACTTGTTGTGTTTGGATTATAGTCATTAACTGAGGCAAGGATGTCAACGTAACATCGGTTTATTTCAGGCAACAGCAAAACATTAGAACACTGAACTGTCAGTCTATCTGACAGCTCACCTTTTTATACTTGGCAAACAGAACAGCATTTTATATATATATATATACTTTATTAGTTTTATAGTTACAAAAAACATCAAATCTCTACTAAAATCAGAACAGTATTAACCAATCAGGAAACGAGTAACCTCCCGCGCTTAGCATAACCCCGTCCCAACCAATCAGGTGCAGGCATTTCCATCGCTATGGTAACGCGCCGACACAACAAAGGACATTCTCACAATTAGCCAGGGGGAGGAGGAACAATGTTACCCGGCAACTGGACAGCACCTCAATTGGACCATGTGACTGATTGTTTGGGGAAAGGGAAAAAACTTTTACTTTTCAATACTTTTCAAAACTATTCTTTGAGGAATCTACCTGCCTCAGAGTCTTGTTTGCTATGGATGCATCGTTTGAAACCCTGACACTATCATTCAGCCAATTCTGACTCTATCCAGCAGTAATATCATCTAATCCATCTTTTCACCATTTTATGAAGAACAACAAACTTTCCCAAAAGTCTTGCTGCTTCCCAGGTAAAATGTCCACAAAGAGTTTCCCTTCTTCAGGATCCAGGAAGATGAGTGCAGCAAGATTCAGGTTCCAAAGATCCAACTTCCATCCTCCCCTGCTCCCCGTCCACCACCACCCCTCACCACCCCTACAGTCACATGATTGTATTTTGGGCCTGACAAGAGGCACGACTTATGACTGTAATTGCCAAGTTCAGTTACAGTCGTAAGTTGAGGACTGCTTTTATACACCTCTACAGGTAGTCCTCAACTTACAACAGTTCATTTAGTGACCGTCCAAAGTTACAATGGCACTCAAAAATGTGACTTATGACCGTTTTTCACAGTTACGACCTTTGCAACATCCCCACGATCACGTGATCAAAATTGGTTCATATTTATGACCGTTGCTGTGTCCCAGGGTCATGGGATCCCTTTTTGCGACCTTCTCACAAGCAAAGTCAATGGGGAAGCCAGTTTCACTTAACAACCAGGTTACTAACTTAACAACTATGGGGATCCACTTAACAACCGTGGCAAGAAAAGTTGTAAAATGGGGCAAAACTCATTTAACTAATGTCTCATTTAACAACAGACATTTTGGACTCAGTTGCGGTCATAAGTCAGGGACTAGCTGTTATTTATAAGCTGGCCTCCCTTGTAAGACAATTGCAGGAGACACATGTCCGTTGCTTAGAGAGAACTTTGTGCAAAGACATCCTTATATGTTTGGTGACAGAGTTGTTTTTCTTTTTTCCCAGTTAGTGGGAGGCAATAAATCCAGCCAGCGTGGAAAAGATTTAGCAGTCAGTATGATGGTGGAGGGAAACACTGAAGCCAGAAATCAACGTAGGGGGTGTCCAGATCCTGTCTTTATTTTCAGTTGTGAAGTGGTAGGCCTCTTTGGGAGGAGGAGCTACTCTAACTTACCCTTACTGAGGAGGAAAAAGAAAATTGAGTAACTGAATTTACATCATTTGCTGCTAGGGAAATATCCGTTCTTTGCCTGTGCTGCCACACCCAGTCCTGATCCATCCCTGTTTATTCATTGCCACATTTCCCCACACCAGACAAATCTTATCCCATGACAATCAGGAACTATTATTTCTGAGGGCAGGGCAATTCTACCATAAAACAACCACCTGTCTGAAGCCAATCTCCAGACGAAAGAAGTTTCAGTCCATGAGAGAAGGACACTGGTGAAGCAAGGAGAGAGGGAGGATTGAAAGTGCAACCAAGGCAACAGAAAAAGATCAGCAGGACTTGGAGGAGCATCTGAAAAAAAAGAAGAAGAAGAATAAGAATCTGCTGAGAAGCAAGCAGAGACATTACAGAACTTCAAGGAAGGAGAGGAGAGGAGACCAGACTGCAAGATGAGCAATCCACAGAATGAGAAGACATCTCAAATGAATGAATCCTTTCAACCTGGACAACAGCCTGATCCGATGAAATCAGCTATGAACCCACCGCCTCCAATGTATGGGACATCTCCCTCTATGCAATACCAGTATCAACCTTATGCTGGACCTCCCGGTGCCGTACCTATGCAGCCTCAACAAACCATCTTCGTCACAAATGTACAGTCTGTCAATGAACCAGATTATTTGGGCTACTCCATCTTCACCCTCCTTTGCTGTTTCCTCCCCTTGGGCATAGCTGCTTTGATTTTCTCTATAAAGGTGAGTTTCAATGAGAGAGAGGGGGGAGGGAGAGAGCAGGAAAGGGGGAGAGGGAGAAAGTGGGAGGGAGAGAAAGAAAGGGAGAACGGAAGCAAGGGAGAGAAGGGGAGAGAAAGGGAGAGAGGAGAGGGAGACGGAGGGAGGGAGAACTTGGGACTGGGTTTTTAGGGAAAATATTGTACAGACATTTTAATGTTTGTCCTTCTCCTCCAGTAAGGGAATCTCAGTGAGTGCTCTAAACTACAGCCAAAATTCAGCCTGATCAGGGGTGGGTTCTACTTATCTTTACTACCAGTTCGCAATGGGATCGCGCACACACGCTCCAGTGGTGGGTTTCAAATTTTTTTACTACCGGTTCTGTGGGCGTGGCTTGGGGAAGGATACTGTAAAATCCCCATTTCTTCAAGATCAGCTGGGACTTGGGAGGCAAAGAACAGATGGGGGCGAGGCCAGTCAGAATTTTTACTACCGGTTCTCCGAACTGCTCAAAATTTCTGCTACCGGTTCTCCAGAACTGGTCAGAACCTGCTGAAACCCACCTTTGGCGCGCTCCCTTCGCTTACACGTATGCCTTGCTTCTGCGCATGCGCAGATCGCCAATGACGACATCCGCAGCGGTGGCCGGGGCCTCCCACCAGTTTTACTACCGGTTCTTGCGAACCGGTCTGAACTGGGGGCAACCCACCACTGAGTCTGATGTTCATTTTGGAAGGGAGATATGAATTTACAGGTAGCCTTCTTAGAGAGAGAAACAAAGAACCATGATTAACTTTGCTTAGATCGTTACTAGTGTGGCCAATGCTAGATTCATCTTAGTAAGCCAGCACTTGTTGCAGTGAACAGGAAAGAGGGAGAGGAAGAGGGAGTAAAAAGGAAAGAGCAAGTAAAAAAGGGGGTAGAATGAAAGGTACAGAGTTTGTTAACACAAGTCCATACTCAGAGATCAAATACAGTTCAAAGAAGGAAAGTTAACTTTGCAGAGATAAGCGCTCCTTTCAATGCACTATCGGACTGCCTTCATTGAAGATATTGTTCAAGTACTATTAAATAGAATTATTTATTGCAAGTAGAAGCGTGGATGAATGTAACGAAGCATATGTAGTCTTCAACTTATGACCAGAATTGGGACCAAAATTTCCAGTCAGAATTCAGAACACTACCCTCTTTCCCTGAAAATAAGACATCCCCTGATAATAAGCCCAATCGGGCTTTTGAGCACATGCGCTAAAATAACCCCCACCCCGAAAATAAGCCCTCCCCAAAAATATTTAAACACATGCACAGCCAGTCCCCGCCATTTTCTCTGGGTAGGGTTAGGGAGACGGAACTGGAAACCAGGTAAGAGGAGCCCCATCTTCCTCCATGTGCCCCCAAATAATAAGACCTTCCCGAAAGACCTTTTCTTTCTTTCTTTCTTTCTTTCTTTCTTTCTTTCTTTCTTTCTTTCTTTCTTTCTTTCTTTCTTTCTTTCTTTCTTTTCTTTCTTTTCTTTCTTTCTTTCTTTTTTTCTTTCTTTCTTTCCTTTCTTTCTTTCTTTCCTTTTGTCTATTCTGTTCAGGATAGTTTACAAGATGACAAGAGAAAAATTCAGTGAAAATAAATGATCCATGTAACCAAAATTCAAGCACCAAGGCAGTCCCGGTCCAACATCTGCTCCAAATGTGAACCAAAAATTGTAAAATGCAAGCCAGGCCGGGAGCCCACTCCACTTAGGACAAGATATGCTATAGGACAAGGGTGTCAAACTCGATTTCATTGAGGGCCGCATCAGGGTTGTGTTTGACCTCAGGGGTCGGGGGCTGTGACCAGGGGGCATGGCCAGTCAATGTCACTCATGTCAGGGGCATCTGTGGTGGCCCAAGCAGGGCTGTGGGGGGGGGGTCCTCCAGTCTGTACAAGAAGAAGTGAAAACTGAAAACTATCCCTCATGGCCAGAGGTGGTATTTAGCCGGTTCAGATTGGTTCCGGGCAAACTGGTAGTGGTGACCTGCAGGTGGGCCCACCCAGCCACCTGGGCACAATCCCGTCCTATATTGCTGTGTTTTTGATGCCAGACACATGTATGGTCGGCGCACGTGAGGGAATTGCCATGTTGTTTGACATCGCACACATGCGCGGACTGCGGCACACCAGCAAAGCAAGCACGCACGCTCGCACGCTCACATTTCCGGTGCTGGGCGGACACCGGTGTTCGCGCACAGTACTCGCGCGCTCACATTTCCGGTACTGGTTGCTACAGTATGTGAATCCCACCTCTGCTCAAGGCTGACAGATTGGCAATGGTTTCTAACTTGTTGCCTCGGACATGTGGTCAAAAGGCATGCAAGAACCTGATTTCAACATAAACAGGTCCCCAGCAGCTGCCAGGTTCCTTTTGCAAAGGAGTCTTTTTTTTTTTTCCTGCACTAAATCTATTTATCTGTCATTGCTGTTGATCTGTTCCCAGTGCAACTTGCCCGGAAAAGTCTCTCATCACTCAAAGTCCTATGCAAACCTTCCATTCAGTCTGACGAGCTCCTCTTTGCTCTTCCCCATGCCCAGAGTCAACTAATTATATGGGAATCAATAATCCTTTTCTTATCTCTTTCCTCCCCTCCTCAGACTCAAGGGGCCAATCAACAGGGAGACATCGTGTCTGCTAGGAGATATTCCAGACTGGCCCTCACCTTGGATCACGTGGCGCTTGGATTGGGGATTGCATGGATCGTTCTGGCTATTATTTTGGTCATTGTTTTCAGCACCGTAGCTGTGACCACAGTTCAACAGGGCAATTTTGGAAACTTTGGAAATATCAATCCCTGAAGACACCATATTATCTTAAATGATTTCTGTTCTTAATACACAGAAGAGAAGTCAGAAATCAAACTATCTAAAATGAAACCATATTCTTTGAATTAATGTAAATCGTGTAAAATGCTTGGTGCAGAATTTAACCGTAGGCCGGTCCTTCAGACTTCTCACTTGTTCACCTATGCTTTGCTGGCCGCACCTATGAACTAGCCCATAATACACTGAAGACAACATTGGGCAGTCTGAAACCCTATTAATCGATTATTCTGATTCTTATCGACCCCCAGATTGAAACAATAGCTTGGGAAAAGGTAAATGTATCAGTTTTGAGGCCACATGTGAAGCATTGGCTCATTTGGAGGTGAAAACTGTTTATATTGAAATACACATAATCAGTTCTAAATCTCATTCATATGAAATGGATGCAATGCACTAGACGTGAGAACGGAAATCCCGATTTGTTGGAAACCTACCATAAGGATATTCTTCATATTTTCTCTGGGACAATCTTACAGACATAAGATTTATCTTTACACATAAAACTCAGTGTTGTCATAAATCAAAAGTGAACAATGTGGTACTTTAGGGCTTCATGTAGTTTTCCAAATCCTGACACACATTTTACTCCAAATTGTAAAATTTAATGCGATCAAAGGAATATCTCTGTCTCACCTTTCTGTATCATTGATTTCATTGTCACATTGCTCTTATTGTTGGAAATTATTACATATTATCCAATTAGCATCTGCCCTTCTGTAATTTGATAACCTTATTCTGTGTACTGCACTGATATAATACAAAGTAGGATTTTATTAAATGTATGAAGTGAGATTCTGTGAAGATTTTTTTGTTGTTGTTGTTTAAACTTATATAAATTTATAATATAAACTTATGTGAAATAAATGCTAATTTGTGTTCTGGCCCTTATGTGTGAACTTCAACTCCCAAAATTCTGCGGCCAGTCCTGGAAATAAATGGAAATATCAAAATGAAAAGTGGGGCAGAACAATGAATGTATTAAGTGAGCTAAAACAGGAAATTATAATGGATTTTGATCCGGAGCACAATGAGAGCTTAGTTTAACTGGCTCACATCTGGTTTATTTGTGTGTGTGTGTGTGTGTGTATGCACACATGTGTGTGCATGCATAATTTTTTATCTGATATCAGTTAGTTTTTCATTGGGTCATGTACTATTGGTGCAACTCTTCCTTCACCAGTTGAAAATATCTATTGGGTCCACATGTAGCATACACACCCTGCAGAAAATGTTTGAATGTCAAAACAAGTGCAAACTGTAGTAACCTTTCCTTTAATGGAAAATGGCATGAGAATGTTCTAAAAATCAATATCCTGCCAATAACAGCTATTTTTCCCTGGGACAGTCAACCTAATGCCCTCTATATGGAATTATGCTTCCCATGGCCAGTGTAGAAAGTTAGCACCTACCCCTCTCCTAGAAGAATGAAATATTTTAGGAAGTATTAAATAGGCAGAATATTATATTTCCCCTAAAAGAGAAACAGAAATCTTAAGGGAGACAGAAACTCAGCCTCTGCTCCAAGGTAATGGGATTAAGACATGACCCTCCAGGACATAATAGAATTATCTAGCAGCAGGGCTCACTGCATTGCCAAATCTCCTAAGGACATTGCATCAGCCCAAGGTTCAACCAAACTTGATTCAGACAAACATGACCCCACATGGCCCCCTGGGAGTCTGACTACAGCCAATATAGCCAATTTGTAAACAGCAATGGTTCATGCCCAACATCCCAAATGACAATGACCAAAAAAAAAATGACAAAAGTTTGTGGTTTCATCCCAAAACCCCCATAATTTTAACCTAACACTGTCTACTGTTGACCTCACCCCATTCCTAAGAGGTCTGCAAGGGGCGTGCATAAGAGCACCAGCATGCCTCCCATCCCTGTCCTAATGTTTCATCTATTTGTATCTATTTTATGCATCCAGTCCATGTTTATACTTATTACCTAATATGTTCTTGACAAATAAATAAATCAAATAAATAGAATACATTTCTTGCACAGGAACAGGAAGCTCAAGTTCAGAGCCCAAGAGAGGGTATAAATACCTCTCACTCTTCACTTCACGTGTTCAACCGCACCAGGACCACGTGCTTGATGGTTCTGCTTCATTAAAACATCTTTCCAATCAGCCTCCATGTTTCCAGTGTCTGGAAACTGAACTGAACCAGATGGACATTTCTTCCAATACCAGGAAATTCCTTAACCAAGGTGCCGGAAGCTTATGGGACTTAGGATCCAAGCAGTCTAGGGAACCAGGCCTACTCCTGATTGTTCTGACACTAACTGCAGTGAAATAAATTCTTCATAAGAAATAGCTGAGGAGGGAAGAGTTAAAGCATTCCTCATCGAACACCACAATTCCTAATTGAAATGGCTACTTGGTATTTAAGAAAAAAATATATAAAATATAAAAGCTGGCAGGGTTTCAAGCCCTGTAATTATTATAATGCCTACTTTGGCTTGAAGTACACAATTTGCAATGTGCAAAGCATTTTGACTCCTTTCAACACATTCTTTTTTTTTTTCTTTTTCTTTTTTTTCCTCTGGCTGACTTGAATTTCTAGCTGAAGGGAAGAATTGCATGACGGGAGCAGGTCGTCCCTGGAAGGACATCGGTTTCCAAGGAGAGATTGATTTATAAGGCGATAGAGGCCTTAGAGAACAAAGGGCAAAGAACTTCTGTGCTTCTCCATAAGGAGATGGAAAATCTATCTGAAGAAGACCTTTGCCTTTATTGCAATGCTGTCCTTCCGTTGTTTCCATTGAATAATAATAATAGATAATAGAATTATTTATTGGCCAAGGAATTTGTTCTCTATGTGTACCCATATGCTCTCAGTGTACATAAAAAGAAAAGATACATTCGTCAAGAATCATAAAGTAGAATAGAATAGAATAGAATAGAATAGAATAGAATAGAATAGAATAGAATAGAATAGAATAGAATAGAATAGAATTCTTTATTGGTCAAGTGTGATTGGACACACAAGGAATTTGTCTTTGATGTACTCATAATAGTAATACAGACTTAGGGAATAGTTTGACAGTGTTGAGGGAATTATTTGTTAAGCAGAGTGATGGTGTTCAGGAAAAAACTGTTCTTGTGTCTAGTTGTTCTGGTGTGCAGTGCTCTATAGCGTCGTTTTGAGGGTAGGAGTTGAAACAGTTTATGTCCAGGATGCGAGGGGTCTGTAGATATGTTCACAGCCCTCTTGTGACTCGTGCAGTATGCAAGTCCTCAATGGAAGGCAGGTAGGTAGCCATTGTTTTTTCTGCAGTTGAACTGATGCCTCTGAGAACCTTCAGCTCATGAAAAGTCCTCTACAAACATTACCGGTCATTTTGGTCTCATTTTCCTTTCCTTTCCTTTCTAACATGGCACTGAGAGTCCTCAGCCAGCTCCCAGGTTCAGTACCAGATTTCAAGGGGGAGGGGAGCCCAGCATCTCTGGCAGCCAGATGCTTCGAACCATTGGCCTGTCTTGCTTGCTTGCATGCATGCTTGCTTGCTTGATTATTTATTAAATTCATGTGCCACCCATCTTGTTTACAGGTGGTATGTAAGAAAGACATGAGAAATGGGACCAAGAGATGCTGCCTAGGGAATGGTTAGATAAGAGAAAGCTTAGCCTGCAGCTGCATAATGGGTAGAGAAAGAGGCTCAGGAAGAACCCTAACATCTCAGGCTGTAAAGATGACAGTCGGAGTTTGGTACTTTCAGATTTGTTAATGTACCTTTATAATACAGTAGAATTAGCACATGGAGGGATGTTTCCTATTTGGTTCTACCTAGAAAAGCTGACAGCCATTCTTTCCAAGCATGGCATTCAAAACTGTGGTTTTAAACCAGTTTGGAGAATTTTAAGGGTTGGTATGTGTAATGGTACAGGAGAATGATCTTGGGAGATAGGATGAAGAGCCAAAGATTAGACCACGGGTCTCCAACCTTGGCAACTTTAAGCCTGGCGGACTTCAACTCCCAGAATTCTCCAGCCAACTCCAGGCTTAAAGTTGTCAAGGTTGGAGACCCCTGGATTAGACAGTGGTCAGATAAGAAGCAGCTGAGACTGCAGAAGGAATGAGAATGTGACAAATGTCTCAGAAGAGACCTTCCCAAGTTTCTTAGATTGTAAAGGCAAGGGGGGGAAAGATGTATTTTCACAATTGCAAGGTTCTTTTAATATAATCTGACAATAAAGATAGTAATTGTTGTGCTTCCTGTTTGGATTACGCACTTTTCTGCTGTCCTTCCATTCTTACTCTTAAAAATTTGGGAAAACTAAAGTTGGGGAAAGTGTGCCAGTAAAGTTGATCCCTACCTAGTCATATGTTGACAGATGCTTCCATGACCTTCTGGAAGTGCTCCATTTCTGCAATGGATAAATATATTAAATGGTAGTAAATGTTGCTTCAAAAATCACATCAGGGAAGGCTCGGGACATAAGCAACTTTTAACTCTTAAGTTAGAGATTCCATGTCTGCATTCTTTTTCTCAAACACAAGTGCTCAAATCAGGGGTGAAATCCAGCAGGTTCTGACAGGTTCTGGAGAACCGGTAGCAGAAATTTTGAGTAGTTCAGAGAACCGGCAAATACCACCTCTGGCTGGCCCCAGTGTGGGGAGGGAATGGAGATTTTCCAGTATACTTCTCCTGCCACGCCCACCAAGCCACACCCACAGAACCAGTAGTAAAAAAAATTGAATTTCACCACTGGCTCAAATATGCTTTCCTTCTATGGACCTCATCCCTCCCTTTTCTTTCTCTGTTTCAATTATTATTTCCCCATGCCATAAATACTGTAGCTGGAATTCTGTGGATATAATTTATAATTACATTCATGTCTTTGACAAATACCCCAATAATGTTTGGTTAGACAATTGGTGAAATGGAGGCTACAGAATTATACAACTGGGCTCAGATCTGGTTAGAATACTGCACCATAAAATGTTAGGTCAGTTGCTTCTCGTTAAACTAGCTTAGAATGAGGTGCCTTATCAAGATGGATTGGAAGAAATCAGGTCTATAAATGACAATAAATAGGGAGAGCATTATTACATGGGGGAAAATGTATTAACTCTCAGTAACTTCACAGAATGGAAAACTAGGCAGAAACAGACAATGCACTGGCAAAATGTTCCATGCGAAACATAATTCAAATAAATTGATTGAATCCGCAGTGTCAGACGTCTTCAAAACAAAATGGTGCAGTGTAATTAATGATAATGGAAGCAGAATCTCCAAGTCACAAAAAGAGATATTTATCCGTTATACAGCACTTATTAGTTCTTCTCTTCTGCCCCTCTCAGAAAATGTTGTTGGCAAAATGAACGGAAGACCACAAAGATCTTTCGGTGAAAAACGTGGAAAATGGAGCTAGAGGTGGTAGGATTCTGCCACTCGGGAATTAGACAAGACTGGTAATTTGTGGTCCCAGGGAGCAGGGTAAAGTTTAATAGGAATGTATCACTGAATAGTACATTATAAACTAAAGTAGAGCTACCCAGAGTTGCTTAGATGAGATGGATGATACAACTTGAATTAATAATAATTACTCTGTTTGCACCAGGAGTGAAATTCAGCAGGTTCTGACAGATTCTGGAGAACCGGTAGTGGAAATTTTGAGTAGTTCGGAGAACCGGGAAATACCACCTCTGGCTGGCCCCAGTGTGGGGTGGGAATGGAGATTTTGCAGTATCCTTCCCCTGCCATGCCCACCAAGCCACGCTGACAGAACCGGTAGGGAAAAATTTTGAATTTCACCTCTGATTTGCACCTTTCATCTGAGTCTTGAATATGAAAATAATTTAATAGGAGAACTACTTTGAAGGTGAACCGTCTTTTCCTTGATGGAGATTTCAAAGGGAGACTGATTGTTTTATCTGCTGGGATTGTTCTTCCCGGATTTTAGAACATTGAGCAGTTGGGTTCAACAAAGTCAATGATGGCTCCCCAGAACATTTCCGGAACTGTTATTGTTCAGTCATGAAGAAATGCAAGACACAATGTCTATACATTTGTGTGTGCAAGTATGAAAGTCTATCCACCTATAACAAGGGCACAAAAATAATGGCTTGGGGCCTACCAAGATGTGTCCTATACTCCTCAAAGCAAAAGGGTTGATTCTTATTTGAATTTTGGAGAATTCTGAATGGGAGGGCAAATGCAATTGTATTTCTTAAAACCCTTAGTCCAGATTTTCTCCACCAGCACTACCTACTGGTCTGTTCATCTGAAGCATGGGCCCTCTTCTGTAAACAGCTTCCTTTTCATTTCAGCATTCCCCCCCTCTCCCCACCCAAAATTGCCCCATTAATTTTGTAATGAAATTCTGAACATGCCGATATAAACCTGGTTTATTTGGGGTTTTATTTTATTTGGGTTTATTTAATTAGCCTTGGGACTGGCAGACGTTCTGCATCCTATCAAACTCCTGTCTGGCACCCCCTTTCCATAGGACGTGTCCAGTATCCATCAGTCTGTTCGTCCTGGCTGCCTAATTATTTATTCCACCCACTCTTTCTCCTGATCCTCAAGACACAGTGATGTCATCCCGCCGGAGAGCCAGAGCAATACATAGCGGTCTCTTAACAAGATAAAAAAGAAGGAAACTGCATTATAAGGTATCGCGTCCAGCAAGCAAGAGAAGGCTTGCCAAGAACAGAAGCAAGAGTTGGGAAACAGACATTAGGTACCACCAAGGAGAAAAATCTAAGCAGCTTCACTGCAGGGCAGTTGAAGTGGAAGAAAATCAGAAGCCAAGATAGGACCTCACTGGCCGTGACACTAGAAAGAGAGCAGCTTCTGCATGATGACCAACCCAAGCTATGAAACCCATATTCCTGTCCCCCCCAAATCCTTCTCCTTATCCTGAACAAAAACCTCAGGAAGAGTCTGATTCACTTAAATTCCACGTTGAATCAACATCCTCTCTGGGCTATGGGGCGGCTTCCTCAGTGCCACTACCGCCACCACCACAGTATCAGATGTACCAGGATCCATCTTCTGCAAAGCCCCATCAAGATCTGTTTGTTGAGTCTCAGGAGGATGTCTTTATTTCACACATCCAGACCACCAATGAGCCTGACTACCTGCGCTACTCCATCTGCACCATGTTGTGCTGTTTCCTACCCTTTGGAATTGTGGCTGTGATTTATTCCATAAAGGTGAGTTGGTGGCCATTGTTTTGTTCTGTAAAGGTAAGTTTCTCTGGGTACGGGTGCTGAAGGTAGCAGGGAGCTTGGCCTTTTTATTGTTTTTTTCTAAAGTCCCTCTTAGTTATATTTGGAAAAATGAAGGGGACGGAATCATATGGTTTAAAGTAGGTGGGCTCCAGCTTCTGGAACTCATCAAGAGCCCCTTTCATAACTCCAGTACCATGAGATGTTCCTCAGGGGCTGCATGGCTACAGTGAAAGAGGGGGATAAGGAAGAAAGGGGGGCAAGTAAGGGGACAAGTAAGAGAGTATAGTGGCATTTGCAGAGAAACAGAATATGTGACATCATGATATCTTCACTTAGGATTAGTTGCCTGCTTTTCCTTCTTGTAGTGTTCATATTTAGCTCTTCGTTCATTCGTTCGTTCATTTGTATTCTGCCAAATTTTGTAATTCATTTGCAAATGCTTTTCCTCTAGGAGCTCAAAATGGTAGGGAGGGGAAGGGTCCCTATCTTTCATCCATACCGGTACCATACACCCCTTTTGAAGTAGCTTGAGTTGAAAGAATGAATGGCACAGCTTTATCCAATTAACTCTTGGTCGGGGGAATTTGAACTTCAGTACTTAATCACTAGATAGATAGGTGATGGAGGGATAGATGGATAGTTAGATGATAGATAGATAGATAGATAGATAGATAGATAGATAGATAGATAGATAGATAGATAGATGTGTGTGTGTGAGAGAGAGAGTGAGAGATGAGAGATAGGTGAGAGAGAGATGAGAGAGAGAGAGATGAGAGAGAGAGAGAGAGATGAGAGATAGATAGATAGATAGATAGATAGATAGATAGATATAGATAGATAGATAGATGTGTGTGTGAGAGAGAGAGAGAGAGATGAGAGATAGATGAGAGAGAGATGAGAGAGAGAGATGAGAGAGAGAGAGAGTAGATAGAGAGATAGAGATAGATAGATAGATAGATAGATAGATAGATAGATAGATAGATAGATAGATAGATAGATAGATAGATAGATAGATAGATGTGTGTGAGAGAGAGAGAGAAAGAGAGAGGGAGGGAGGGAGGGAGTATTTTGAGGAGTTAGTGATATATTTTGATTTCTCCTTCATATTAAGAAAAGTTGAAGCTGAGAACTCATTCTGCTTGTTTAACCTGCTCATTTTCACTAATGCTGGATAAATAAAGGGAGAGGAAGTCTAACTTTGTCTTACCTGACTTGATTCCTATCATGTCAAGACTAGGGCTTCTAATCTTGTGACCACATAAGAAGGATCATGAAGTCTTGGTGCTAGGTTTTAATACAAAAAAACCCTGAATGTTGCCCATTAAGCTGAGACTCTGCATAGGCTTGAGCTCCAAGCTGCGTACCCAGAGCATATGGGTCTCTCTACAGCTTGAAACAGGGTTCCCTAATTAATATGTTATGCTTTCTGGTCTTTCCATTTAATTTCTACCAGAATTAAAAGAATAAAGCTTGAAATCTCTTCACTTAGTGGATGTATTCATTGTCTCTGGATTCTCAAAGAACCAATCTCTGGCACCTTACCACTGCCTGACACTTGGCAAAACAATAGGTCAACTAATTATATCTCTTATCACCTAATTTATCATATATTCTTCTTGACATTTTAAAGAGAGTAAATAATACACATTGATTGGAGTTACCATGATCTAATGGTAAATAATTAATCCTTTACAAATCTAAAAAGGCTTTTTGTGAGGTATTTGGGATTCAGATCATATCGGGGTGAAATCCAGAAGGTTCTGATAGGTTCTGGAGAACCAGTAGAGGAAATTTTGAGTAGTTAGGAGAACTGGCAAATACCACCTCTGGCTGGCCCCAGAGTGGGGTGGGAATGGAGATTTTGCAGTATCCTTCCCCTGGAGTGGGGTGGGAATGTAGATTTTGCAGTATCCTTGCTCTGGAGTGGGATGGGAATGGAGATTTTGCAGTATCCTTCCCCTGCCGTGCCCACCAAGCCACACCCACCAAGCCACACCACATCCACTAAGCCACGCCCACAGAACCGGTAGTAAAAAAAATTGAATTCCACCACTGGATCGTATATATTCGATAACCACATTTACTGTTACCAAAGTATATTTTTCCAGAAAAACAACCTTGCCATCTCTCCATATTAATCAGAAAATATTATTTGGCACAATTATCATAAATTGTTCTGAAGACAGCTTAAAACATACAAGCATACCATGAAATAAGCACTACTTCACCTGCAGTATATGCCACCCTGAAGAAAGAAATTAATAGACTGTTTGCCTTTTTACTTCCACTAATTCTTTACTGACCATGATGTCATCCCATCGTTCTCCTTAATTCATCTTGCAGTGGGAAAGGTTTTCGCAATGTTTCTTGCAGAATATTAGAATAATGGGTGCTTTATTAGATCATCTGTCACCTTTAGGTTTATAAATCAAAAGTAACCAATATAAAATAACCTGGAGCTATTTAAAAAATCCATGGTCTAGAATGAATAGAATCAAGATCATGTGAAGTGTTAATACCACTTTATAATCCTTGGTAAGACCACACTTGGAATATGGCATCCAGTTTTGGTTGCTACGATGTAAAACTCTACAAGAGGACAGTGCAACAAAGATTATTAGGGGACTGGAGGCTAAAATATAATAGTTGCTGGAATTGGATATGTCTAGTTATTGACATGATAGGAGTGTTCTGATATTTGAGGGACTGCCACAAAGAAGAGGGGGTCAACCTATTCTCCAAAGCACTTGAAGGCAGAACAAGAAGCAACGGATGGAAACTAATCAAAGAGAGAAGGAACCTACTCTAGAACTAAGGAGAAATTCCCTGACAGTGAGAACAATTAATCAGTGGAATGATTTGCCTCCAGAAATTGTGGATGCTCCAACACTGGATGTTTTTAAGAAGAGATGGGACAACCATTTGTCTGAAATGGTATAGGGCCGTGATGGCGAACCTATGGCACGCATGCCACAGGTGGCACGCGGAACCATATTGGTGGGCATGCAAGCTCAGCTCCGACACACATGTGTGCGCCAGCCAACTGATTTTGGGGCCTTCTGGGCCCACTGGAAGTAGGGAAACAGGCTGTTTCCGGTCTCTGGAAGGCCTGGGGGAGGTGGGGAAGGCCCATTTTTTCTCTCCCCTGGCTCCAGAGCCTCTCTAGGAGCCTGGGGAGGGCGAAAACGGCCTTCCCCACTCCCCAGGAGGCCCTTCGGAGGCCGGAAATGGCCCATTTGCCAGTTTCTGGTGAGACCGGAAGGCCCGTTTTTTGCTCTCCCCAGGCTCCTAGAGAGAGTCTGGAGCCTGGAGAGAGCAAAAAACAGGCCTACCGGGCCCCCGGGCCATCACATGCCAAAAGCGGGGGGAGTGCGGGGGAGTCACACATGCATGCGTGGGGGGCAGGGCACATAGAATTATGGGTGTGGGCACGCGTGTGACAACACACACATGCCTGTGCTTCCTCCGTTAAAAGGCCTTATGAGTTTGGCCCTGGTAAAAGTTATTCCTAACATCATATATGCTCAAAGACGCCCAGTTCATTAATTTTAGGATATGTTAACTATCTGAGCCAGAATCTGAGATCTGGTTCCAGTCAGAGGATCTCAAGATTCTACGTGTTAGGGAATGGCTATTGCCTAACTGGTTGGGTTGGCAATATATATAAACCATCAATGCATGTTTGCAGTCAAAATGTAATGTGTAGCTTTAAGACTGTAATGCTGTATTGCATCATACTGTATTCTGATTGGCTAGCTCTGTAGCCAATGTACTTAAGGGGAAGCTGGAATCATGGCTTGTTTTTCTTATTACATTATTATTGCTACCTCTGCTCCTCTCTGCCTGTTCTCTCTGGATGATCACTGCTTGTTAATTCTACTTGTTGTTTTTCTACTGTTTTACTGATTGTTTTACTGCTGTACTCGTTCCTGTTTGCAACTCCAAAAAGAACTGTTTTATTGCATATGACTACAACAACTACGTAATTTGGAGCTTGAAATCTAAGTAAGCTTCATCTTGCAAGGCTCGTGTCAACCTATCACCTAATACTAATGTGATAATACCTGACCAATAAGGTGGGTTGACTTTCCAAGTCAGCTAATCATTCCACAGCTTACTGCAGGTCACCTTATTTCTGGAGATGCTTTTCTGTTTCAAGTGCTCACCAGTCTGATTCTTATGTCTCTTTCTCTTCAGACTCAAGAATCCAACCGAAATGGAAACTATACAACTGCTCGAGAGAACTCCAGGCTGGCCCGCATATTTATCTATTGGGCAGTTGGCGTCGGGCTCATTTTCTGGACCCTGTACACCATCTTAATTTCACGCAGCTTCTAAGCTTCCAACGGTTAGACATCCAAGTGAAGTCCGTTGGAACATCAGGCATTACATGGGGCTCTTATCCCACAGCTTTACCCAAAAGCCTTAGTTGGGGCTAACGTTGTCGGCATCATTCCATTCATATGCACATGAACTGACTTGATGATCAGCAGTGGAGCATGAGAACTTCAAAGTCTTGCACCTGAGCCAACTTTTAACATTCTGAAAGTTCTCCCTAGCAGTAACCCATCCAACATCAAGTGATAAATCTCATGTGTGATGCAACTCTATGGTATCAAAAGATCTCCAGATGAAGGTCATAGAAGGTCCATTGGCTACCTGGAACAATATCATTTTAGCTAGGGTTATTAGTTTGTTTCTTACATGTGTATAATTTATATTTCTTCTGGCAGTTCAAGATCTAATCTATGGATTTTCCTCTCCCTTTTGTTTATCCCCAAAACAACAATGCTGTGACAGCACACAACCATTCAATCTGCTCTATAGTCAAACGTGAAATTCAATGTGGGTCTTCCCTAGCCAACATCTTAACTACTACTGCTACACCAGACTGGTCCTTCTGTTCAATGAACTGATCAGTTACCTTTGTATTGTCAAGGAAAACAATGGAATGTTAATGTGAGTTTCAGCCAGTAACAGAATATTTTTTTCATTCATCTGACCATTTTTTCGTTTTATTCCACAGTTGGCCTTTAAACGGTGGGCTTCAAAATGACATTTGAATTAACTTATGTAAGTTTAATTGCAATCAGTTGGATTCAATATCTACTATATATTTGAGCATATCCCCTCTAGTCCCGTAACATTTCAGCACTATTTTTCCCAGAGGTTTTAGGAACTGCTTCAAGGATCTAACCTAGTGAGGACATTAAATTTCCAGAAGATGTTTGGGACTACAGCTTCCATGATCATTAGCCATTCAAATATCTGGACAGCTCCCACTTGCTCTCTCGTGCTCCTAGTGCTAGTCCTAGTGCTCCTATCTAGCCAACCCAGCTTCAACAGTAATTCCCCTCAATATTTCATAGATGAAAACAAGAGATCTTTTACCTTGATCTCTACATAGCTTGGCCCCTTAAGATTCATGCAAATGAGTGAGATCTGGGCCTGCACTTGAATGGGTTGATTCTGCAAGAGGCTTTCATCAGCTATTTTGGGCACTTCTTGGCACTATATCAATCAATAAATCAATGCTGTAAAACTGCAGTGATTTTTATTTCCCTGGTACATTTTTCAATGAGTTACTTGGATTCTCCACATTGCTAAAAAAGAGAGAGAGAGAGAAAGTTAAATAACCTTGTTTATATTGAATAGAAAGGAAAATCCTCATTTTTGTACTGCAATGAAGAGCAAATATTCAAATGCCTTAAATATGCTGCGTAGCAACACTCAAAATTCATCAGATGATGATGACCTGTGCCATAAACTAGACTTAATGAGCACCTAGTTCAACATATTGGAATGCTCCTTAATTTGTTAGATATCGTCTCCCACATACTAACCTTTTATATTGCCCTACACCAGTCAGATCTTCCTATCCCTTCTTTTAATTACTTTTGGACTCTTGATTTTTATATATACTTTAGGTTTTAATACAAGTAGTCTCGGACATAGGACTGGTTGCTTAGTGACTGAAGTTATAATAGACGCCCCCCTCCCAAAGGTACTTAATGACACAGTTCCAAAGCTCAGATGGACATGAGTCACATGACACATTTGGTTGCTCCGCAATTGACCTACATTTACCATTCTTTGACCCACTTGTACCATCACAAGACTGCAATTTACAATGTTCCCCCCCCCCCAAAATAGTGATTATTTATCAGTTTTCAGCAAAAGTACCCTATAGCCAGTGGTGGGTTCCTCCCGGTTCGGCCAAGCCGGTAGCAGTGACAATATGACGTCACCGAACCAGTTCTCTTTGTTCGGGAGCTGGGCCCTCACTCACACACACACACACACACACACACACACACACCGTGTTATTCTTACCTTTTATTTGCCCCCCCCAATCTATTCGCTACCTCCCCAGTTGATTGGCTAGAAGGAAAAAAAACTGTTTAAACTCTTGTCACGGGGCTTCAAAGGGCCACCCTACAGCTGATCAGTGTTAAAAGGCAGTGTGGTGGTAGACCAGTGCGGTCGAAAAACAAATGGGTAGACCGGTGCCTCCAAAAACAAATGGGTAAACCAGTCTCTCCAAAAACAAATGAGTAGACCGGTGCCTCCAAAAACAAATGGGTAGACTAGAACACTCCAAGAACAAATGAGTAGACCAGTACAGCTCTGCATGCAGCTAAAAGCCTGGTAGACCAGTATCTCTGCTAAATCCTAAAAAATTGTCACATGACCATCAAACTATGCCCACAAAATAAGCCACGGCCACAGAACCTGTAGTAAAAAATGTTAGAACCCACCCCTGCCTATAGCCATGATGGCAAACCTATGGCACGCATGCCAGAGGTGGCACGCAAAGTCCTCTCTGCTGGCACATGCGCCGTCGCCCCAGGTCAGGTTTCCGTGGTGTTTCTTTTGTGAGCTTCTGTTTCCCTGCAAACGACGAAACGGAAGCTCACGAAAGAAAAAGATCTTACCTCTTGCCGCGCTGCCAGTGTTGGGATGCCCCGCCTCCCACCAGCCAGCTGGTCTTCGGGCCTCTGCTGTGCATGCATGCATGTCCGCGCATGTGCACGCACACCTTTCAGTTTCGGCATACATGCGCGCGCAGTTTGGGCACTCGGTTTCTAAAAGGTTTGCCATCACTGCCCTATAGCAAACAATTGGCTTGCTTCATAACTATGGTGTTACCATTTAACCACTATTAAAAAAAAAAAAACAGTGTAAAATCAGTTAAAGGATGACCTGCTTTATGACTGTCACAACTTACGACCGTAATGGGCAGACTCTATCTTAAGACTTAAGGACTTAAGTGGGCAGATTCTTCAGTCAAGGACTATCTCTACATATATCTTTTATATCTTCTTCTTTTTCATATTTTTTTAGACTCCGGTGTATCTTCTATGCCAGTGATGGCTAACCTTTTTGCCATCACGTGCCAGGAGGGGGGGTGGGGGAGTTCGCATGCACACATGCCCACACCCATAATTCTATGCGCACTGCACCACAAATGCGCACATGACCCCCCCTGCTCCTGGCACACAATGGCCCAGTAGGCCTGTTTTTCTCTCACACCTGGCTCCAGCTCCTCTATATGCATCTGGGGAGGGTGAAAACAGCCTTCTCCACCTACTTGGAGGCTCTCCGGAGGCCTGAAACAGCTCGTTTCCCAACTTCTGGTTGGACAGGAAGTGACTTTTTTGCTGTAATAAGTTTGAAAGTTTGAAAGTTTATTAGATTTCTATACCGCTCTTCTCCCAGGGCACTCAGGGCGGTGTACAGCTATATTAAAACACATAAATTTATAAAATTTAAAACCAATTAAAATCAAATATATAAAATTTGGCCCTCAAATTAAAACACACATACGCCCATTTAAAATTCATATTGGGCCAGTCCAGCTTGCTGAAACAAAAGGGTCTTAAGAGCGCGGCGAAAAGTATGCAGGTCGGGGCTAAGACGAAGCTCTAGGGGCAGCTCATTCCAAAGGGCTGGTGCCCCCACAGAGAAGGCTCTCCCCCTGGGTGTCGTCAGTCGGCATTGTTTGGCCGACGGCACCCTGAGGAGCCCCTCTCTGTGGGAGCATATTGGCTGGTGGGAGGTTGTTGTTGGCAGAAGGCGGTCTCGTATATACCCCGGTCCTAAGCCATGGAGCGCTTTAAAGGTGGTGACCAACTCGCACTCGGTGGTGAATCGCACTTGGAAGACCACTGGGAGCCAGTGCAGCTCACACAGGAGGGGTGTTACATGGGTGCGCCAAGTCACACCCATAACCACCCGCACGGCCACATTCTGGACCAGCTGGAGCCTCCGAGTGCTCTTCAAGGGGAGCCCCATGTAGAGAGCATTGCAGTAGTCCAGACGGGATGTGACGAGGGCATGAGTGACCGTGCGCAGGGCATCCCAGTCCAGAAAGGGACACAACTGGTGCATCAGGCGAACCCGATAGAAAGTTCCCCTGGCCACGGCCATCATGTCATCTTCCAAAGACATAAGCTTTGCCATCATGGTTCTATGCTCTTGAATTGATTGCATCCCACCCTCCTTATGCTACATTATGTCCACCATAAAAATTTGATTTGAATGCCTTAAAGCAGCTGTGGTTTTTTTTCCCCAGATTTTCCCAGATTCCTGGAGAGCTGCTTTTTAGAGCATCTGGGAAAAGATGCAGCTGCTTGAAAGTATTGCAGGCAAGCTCTACATCTAGATTAGATTAACAGAGTTGGAAGGGACCTTGTACATCATATAGTTCAGCCCTCCACCCAAGCAGGAGACCCTCCACCATTTTTGACAAATGGCAGTCCAATCTCTTCTCGAAAGCCTCCAGTGATGAAGCTCCCACAACTTTTAAAGTCAAGCTGTTGTTGATTGCTCTCACTGTCAGAAAAGTTCTCCTTATTTCTAGATTGAATCCCTCCTTGATCAGTTTCCATCCATTTCTTGCCTGGCCTTCAGGTGCCTTGGAAAATAGGCTGACCACTTCCTACCTGTGGCAGCCCCTCAAATATTGGGACCCTGCTATCATGTCTGTGGTCGCACCGACCCTCTGGAATGGGTTACCCACCGGGCTCCGGACAACCCCCGACCTCCGCACTTTCCGCGCTGACCTGAAAACATGGCTTTTTCAACAAATTCTCTGATCTGCCGCGAGGTTTTAATTGTCTGGGGATTTTAAATTGGCTTGTTTTAGCACTATTTTATTGTTATGTTGTTTCTATTCTGTGAACCGCCCCGAGTCCTATGGGAGAAGGGCGGCATATAAATTTGATTAAATAAATAAATAAATAAATAAATAAATAAATAAATAAATAAATAAATAAATAAATAAATAAATAAATAAATAAATGTCTCCCCTGGTCCTTCTCTTCACTAAACTTCCTGTCAGGGTTCCAAGTAACACCCCCAATGAAATCAAACTCCAAGGCTTGAACTTCCTCAAAGCTAATTTTTATTAGAGATGTCATATTGGCACATCTGGGAAAACCCGAATCTGAGAGCTTCCGGGTTTTCCTCACCCAAAAGAAAGTTCAAGTCCTTGCCCTTCACCCACATGTCCATCACACGAACAAATCAGGTACCCTCCAGAACAGAAGATATCTCCCTAGTCTTCTCAGCACAGCTGCAGGGCAAAGTGGCCTTGACTTTCTAGAAAGAATGTTATTTTGACTACAAATCATCTTCACTCCATACAATCCCCCCTCCCATTTTACCACAATAGAATTTGTGGCAGGCCTGAAGGCTCAAAGATAAAAAATGGCTTCCAGGTCTGATGCTAGCCATGCCCAGTTCCTGTAACCATTCTTCATATGTTTTAGTCTCCAGCCCCCTAATCATCCTGGTTGCTCTTCTCTGCACTTTTTCTAGAGTCTCAACATCTTTTTTATAGTGTGGTGACTAAAACTGGATGCAGTATTCTAAGTGTGGTCTTGCTAAGGCTTTACAGAGTGGTATTAGTACCTCACTTGATCTTGATTGTATCCCTCTGTTAATTGACTTTTTTGTCTGCCGCCGCACACTGCTGGCTCATTTATTTATTTTTTTTAATTTGATTTATATGCCGCCCTTCTCCGAAGACTCAGGGCGGCTTACAATGTGCTCAGCAATAGCCTTCATACTTTTGTATATTTATACAAAGTCAGCTTATTGCCCCCACAACTGGGTCCTCATTTAACCTACCTTAGAAAGGATGGAAGGCTGAGTCAACCTTGAGCCTGGCGAGATTCGAACCTGCAGTAATTGCAGGCAGCTGGTCTTAATAACAGGGTGCTTTAGACCACTGTACTACCAAGGCTCTTGATATTTAACTGGTTGTCCACTAAGACTCCAAGATCCCTCTCACAGTTACTGCTATTAAGCCTGGTTTCACCCAGTCTATATGTGTACTTTCAGTTTTTCTTGCCTAAGTGTAAGACTTTACTTTTCTCTACATTGTATTTCATTTTGTTAGATAGGGGCCAGTATTCAAGTCTGTCAGGATCTGGATTTTGAGCCTATCTTCTAAGCTATTCCTGCCAGCTTAATATTATTTGCAAATTTGGTAAGTTCTCCTTCTATTCTCTCATCTAAGTTGTTTATGAAGATA